AGCTGCAGGTGCCGGCTGAGCCCCTGCGCGCCTCCCGCCTTCTGTGCGCGCACCTGAGACCCTCCAGCCGCTTGGACCTTTGGCTGGTGCCATAAGATGCCATGATATTATGTGCCTCATGAGAGCAACTACTTAATGCATCAATATTAATTACTTGAACCTGACCATCTTATATTGCAGACGAGCGCTATAATCCCCGGGATCCCCAACACCTACATCCTCAACAGAGGCTGGTGTGTGACCCAGCCTCAGTCCCTGAAGTCTCTGGAAGGAATGGCTCAGCCGTCCGTTCTCAGGGCCTCTCCTCCTGTCTGGCACAGCTGGCCCCTCACTCGGTGTCCTCATTACCCGCATCGTCTCATGGTTCTCTTGCGTGGAGGCCTGACTCTCCTCCTATACCTCTAGGGAACCACAGTGCGGGACTGAGGATGCCAGCGGACACAGGGCATTCAGTAGATGAGCATTAGCAGGCTTATTACCCAGCGCCAGGTTTAGAGCTTTTGAAGGTTTCAGGCGCATGACTGGGGAGGGATTCATCTGGCCACAACTTCAAACCCCAGATCTAGTGTCCATTGAGATGGCTACAGCTGCTCCTGTTAACCTCACACGCAGTCAGACTGATAAAAGCTATTGTTTCATTCAGGATGGACACTGTTGTTGCTGTGGATGAGATAAGAGCTTGTGGGGCAGTGAAACATGGGGTGAAGAAGGCTGAGTCTACCTGCACCCTGCTGCTGGTTGAGGCCTCAGCACAGACAGACCTATGCTGCTCACTGCCTGCTAGACTGACACAGGGCTTGTGAAGTCTTCCTTCCCCGTGAAAGCGCAGAGGCCTCATGCCACAGCAACCTTAACCATCACTTTGTTTCTTACATTTCAGTGAAGAGGTATTCCTAGCTGAACTTCTGCCTGATTTTTTTTTTATATACTATGCAGCAAAATCCCTAATGCCTGTATAGTAAACAAAACCACGTAAATTTTATAACTATGTACTGTCCATACATAATAATATTCTAAATGGCAATTTCTCTTTAGATCATGTCCAAGACAGATGGGCGCTTTTGTCCTCACCCTGTCCCAGGAGTTAGCACGTTCACTGCATCACCATCTGTAGCTGTGGCTTTCATTACCAAGGTAACGGCGTTTTTCCTCACGCTACCTGTGGGATGGAAGAGTTGTTTCATCCCTTATTTACGATAGGGGAAATACCTATAGTAAAGTTCTGTGACAAAATCAAGAGTGGAAAACAGCTCCCCAAACCACAGGCCACAAGGTCCTGTCTCCCATGCTGACTCCGGGTCAGTGACACTGAGGTTCTCTCCAAGGTCAGAGCATCTTTTTCTTGCTCCTTGGTAGCTCCTCACGGTTTCAGCTGGAATCTGTGGAGTGAGGAGCCATTTGCTGGGATGCCATTGCTGAATTTTACTGCAGACAAATCCTGGGCACACAGAGCACAAAGCAATTCAGGAGGTGTGCTGGGTGTTGCTGGCCACCAACAAAGCACCCACCTAGCTGCTCACTCACTCCCCCCACCAACAAGATGGGGGAGAGAAGAGCAAAAGTGAGAAAGCTCATGGGTTAAGATAAAGACAGTTTAATAGGTGAAGCAAAAGTGCATGTGTGAGCAAAGCAAAATAAGGAATTCATTCACTACTTCCCATCGGCAGGCAGGTGTCCAGCCACTTCCTGGAAAGCAGGACCTCGGCACGCATAGTGGTTGCTTGGGAAGACAGAGGAAGATTTGGAGATGTGTTTCACTCACTGTTATCAAGGTGAAATCAAGTTTCTGTATCAGATGGAAGCAGGGCAGGGTGAGAATCAGCAGCAGCTTAGCAAATCCATTTGTAATCTCTGGGCAGCTGGGAGGCCGTTAGAATTCTTCAGTCACAATAGTTTTGCCATTTGTATTTCCAACAGAGAGATTAACAGAATGCCTTTGAGCTGACAGGGCAAAAGCACAAGAGAAAGGTGGATCTGTGAGGGAGCCCACCTGTCTCCTTCTTTTCTGCAGGACATAATGAACTCTACTTAATTGTATAAAACCTGGAAAAGAAGCTTATCATATGAAAAGCCATGAAGCAACACAAGTGAAGTCTGGAGGGGAGTCCAGGTGCTTGGGAGCAAGAAATGTTAGAGAGAGAGTAAAGTAGCATGAAAGGTACTGTTATTTAAAAGCCCTAACAATTTGGGGATTTTTTTCCACATAAATTGTATTATTGATTTCTGTCATGTTGTCACACCATATGGTGCCTCATCCTCCTGTTATGGTTAATAACTGAGAAGAAGTAGTTTCAAATGTTAGCTCCGTGGCATGCAGCAACTTCACTAGCCATGTAGTTTATTTCCAGGGGCAGGACTAATCTTGGAGATGAGCAGCATTTGTCCTCAATGATGTATTTTATGCTGTCTGCCTCACACAGAGTTATCTGATCATAGTGTCATTACCAGTAATGATCATGATATCTGTACAGTGCTTTCTGATCAAGATGTAGGGACACTGCCCAGTAATTGCACTGTAGCACTCTTCTCCTTGCAGTAAACCCACAAAAATTCAAATCTGGAAACAATATAGTGTGTATAAAACTAAAAAGAAGTTGAAATGAAATGAGGGCAATCCTCATCTGAGTTACTGCTAAATGCATATAGGTCTCAAGGAGATATCACAGCACAGGCCCATCCTCCTTTTCTCCTGCTCACTCTATGACTTGCACTGTTATCTGCATCCTCGGCATGGCTGGGTTCCCCAAGTAACATGCCCTGGCTGCTTATCTTGAAAAAGCTCTGTCTGTGGATGGGGAAGTGGGGACAGTTCACCGTGACTGAAGGATTTGGTCATGCAGAAGGCATCTGTTTTGTGAGAAAGCTGCTGTAAGTGGTGAGGGAAAAACTGGAAACAGAAAAACCAAAAGGGAAA